AACCCTAAACCCTGAGCCTTGTTTTCGGTGAAAGGGGCGTAGGATGGAGTTCTCAAGATTCTGGGTTGTTAGGGTTTGGGGTTTAGGGTTTAGGGTTAGGGATTTATAGGCCCCACCTTGGACAGTACACAAGAACCCGAAACCCCAAACTCTAAAGAACAGAACCCTCAACTCAAAACCCGGTAAGCCCTAAGCGCTGAGGCCTAACCACCCCAAAGATGATAGGTAGTTGGGCCGCAGGCTGAACTCTAGCTAGGCTGCAGTTTAGGGTTTAGGGTTTAGGGCTTGGGGTTTCGGGATTACGGCTTAGGGTTCCGGGTTTAGCTCCAAACATCCTAATTTGAAACCTTCAACCCGAACAAACCACCCAAACCCGCAATGGAAACCCGAAAACGGAACAAGTTTAGGGGCTTAGGGTTAGGGTTTAGTTTTTAGGCTTTAGGCTTCAGGGTTTAGGGTTTTGGGTTTAGATCCCAAAAACCTAACTTGAAACCTTCAACCCTAACAAGCACCCAAACCTGCAACTCAAACCCGAAAGTCCAGCTCAAACCCGAAAGCCGAAAAAGTTTAGGATTTAGGGTTTAGAGGGTAGCTTGGGCTTGAACCTCAAAATAAACAAAAACACCCACATCCCAAACGGTGACCCTACAGTGCAAGTATCTTCTCGGAGTATGGTTTGTATTTGGATTTGGGGGCCCTATTCCGTAAACCCTGGTCACCTCATTCCCCAAAGCCTTAGCCATACTGAACCCTAAAGCCCAGAACCTAAACCCTAATTAAACCCCAAACCCTACTAAGCCCTAAACCCCACATACCCCGCACAGTCTCCCCAGTTCCCGTCACCTGGACTGCTCCGTGGCCCAACCCGGGATGAGCCTCACCAGGCCGGTATAGGATGTGGTGAGAGCTTTGATTGAGGCTTAAGGTTTCGGGTTTAGGGTTTAGGGTTTGAAGGTTTAAGTTTTAAGGCTTCGGGTTTAGGGTTTTAAGGTTCAGGGTCTTAAGTTTCCGGGTTTAGGGTTTCAGGATGGGTCAAGGATTTAAGGTTGAGCTCGGTTAGGGCTGTGGAACGCCGGCTTCTGGCGTTGCACCGCAGGGTTTAGGGTTTAGGGTTTAGGGTTTTGGGGTTTAGGGTTCAGTGTTTAGGGTTTAGGGTGCCTGATCAAACCTTCAAACCTGAAGCGTTCAAGATCCAGGGTTTCGAGGGTTTCTCCGGGGACTAAAGGAGGGACCCTTATAGGGGACCTTAGGGGTTATTTGGGTGGTATCTAGGACCTACTTATGTATAAAGGGACTAGACAAGGCATATACATATATGCATATATCTATATATATATATATATATGGGGAAATATATGGGGAATAAGATTCACGGTACCTTCTAGGGGTCCCTCCTTATACCCCTTAAATTTCGAACCTTGCGGGTCGCACGGTTCAGGGTTTGGGCCGGTGCCAAGAATGTTCTGCTAGGTGGGTGGGGGATCTTACCCTAAACCCTGAAGCCCGAAACGATCCCCAAACCCTATTTTGATTATTAGCGCTTAGGGTTTCATGGGCTTTAGCTTTGGGTCTTCAAGCGTTTCTAAGGGTATTTTCATGGGCCTTAATATGGTCCCTTACCTTCTTTAAAGGGTTCTGAAGTATGGGCCCTTAAGTTGTATAGGGTATACAACGGGTATATAAGGGGTGCCCTTTTAAGGTACACCTGAGGCCCTAAACGCCATATGACGCCCAACCTAAACCACAAACTCGACCCCGGCCTGACGGTGGGAATGGGATCGAAGAGCTTCAAGGACTGGGTGAAGAAGTCGTAGCTGGGGCCACCGAATTCCTTGGTTCAGGGTTCAAGGGCTCAGTTAGGGTTTAGGGTTTAGGGCTCAGGGTTGTTTAGGGTGGTTTGAGATTTTAATGGGGGATAAGCCCCACGTCCTAAACTGTAATTTCTGTTTCTCAATCATGCCACGGAGTGCCAGCTGTGGGGCTGCTTAGGATTTACAAGTAACTACAGGGTTTAGGGTGTAGGGCTCAGGGGGTAGGATTTTCGACAGTTGAGGATAGCCGAACTCCCAGGGTTTGTTAGTTGGGGCTGAAGGAATAAGTTGGGATGATTCCCCTGCTACTCACTTAACAGGGATTATCATAGGGGTACTATAAATCTCTATTAAGGACTGTAAGTATAAGGGGGATCGTCCCAACTTATTAAGTTATAGGGAAGAGGGGGTGCAGAAAGCCATCCCAAAGGCCTGCAAATTTCTGCGCCTGGCTCATCCCCTACCTAACCCGGCTGGAACCCCCGCAAAAAACATAAAGAACAACAATATACATAATATAATAATAATAAAAATAATAATAATAATAACAACAATACTAATAATAACAATGACAATAATAAACAATAACAATAAAATAACACGAATAGTAGCAGATAGTACATTAAAAAAAGAAACCTCAACAAATCAGTAGGTTAGGTGGCAGCCCACCTCCTAACCCCTCAACCCTCAACCCCGAACCCTAAACCCTAATCACCCTCTGTCGGCAAAGGCTCCCCTCCGCGTTCCACGACCCATGGCGCCCAGGCTGTGGCAGCAATCTTGATGACATATCCTTAAAGGGGTTTAGGGTTTAGGGTTTAGGGTTTATAGGGTTTATAGGGTTTAGGGTTTAGGGTTTAGGGTTTCGGGTATTTTGTGTATCGTAGGATTCGATATAACCAACAAAAGTTAAAAAGGTTACCGACGCAGTCCCTAAGTATCCGCCGATGGCGACGCTGTGACGTATCGAGTCGATGTTCACGGAGCCACCTGGCCGCACAGCATCAGTAGTTTCGGAACGAAACCCGAAATCCTATACCCTAAACCCAACCCTAAACCCCAAACCCTAAACCCCAAACCCTAAACCCTAAACCTTAAACCCTGAACCTGAACCCCCCCAATCCTAAACCAACACCTTTTTTGTGGAGCTTACTTGGGCTGATTCAGGCCTTTTGGGGGATGTGGGCCCTTAACCCCCCTCACCTTTACACGCAGGAGCGCAAAAGCCACCCCAAGCCCGACGCCCTGAAACTTTAAGGTTTAAGGGTCAGGATCAGGGTGTAGGGCTTGTATGAAGTAGGGTTTATATTCTTTGTACCCACAAAAACGACACCAAATGTATACATCAATATTACAAAGGAACCTTATATATACTCACCAAGAACAGTACTATAAACCCTACTTCATATGGGCCATCCGCCACGTGGACCTCAAAATTGAAATCATATACGCGGTGCGTGACTGAATTCCCCACCAGGGTTGGGGACCTTACACCATCCACAAACTCTGTTGGAGCTCGGGGTTTAGGGTTTAGGGTTTGGGGTTTAGGGTTTAGGGTTCATGAGCACAATTTAGATCGGGCCCACATGTCTCGTAGCTGTAGGACCAGGACGTGTTGAGAATCGTCTTGTCCTCCGTCCGGCGGGTGCCTTGGTCTTTCCAGGGCAGTAAGGTCTGAAAGCATGTAACTTTTTGCCGGGTTTTCAGGTAGGGATACCGAGAATAGGGCCCGCTATGTAGATCAGCCGCCGCATATTGGCAAGAAACATCTTCAGTTCGATCACTTGCAACACATGCGTGTGCAAATAGGGCCGTTTCTCAGCAGTGGGCGGGGAGGGCTGGGAGCCTCCGGAGTTGAACCCCCCTCCGTATTCGGCAAAAAAAACAGCCAGCAAAGAAGGCAACAACCCCCCCCCCCCCCCCCCCCCCCCGCGCACCCCTCCCAACACCTCCCAACTCCGAGCTTCCAAAAATCCCAACCGATACCGTTGGGGAGACGTCTACGTAAACACCCTCATAACCCTTTAAACCCCCTAAACCCTAAACCCCAAACCCTAAACCCTAAACCCCAAACCCTGAACCCTAAAATATGCCGGGTGACGGCAGTGTGGCGAGTCGTCACTGCCGGGCGCGGCCCCGGCCGCCGCACAGCGGTCCAGGCTGAAGGGGCAGACCTTGGCTGGGGGTTTAGGGCTAGGGTTTAAGGCTGTATAGGGTATAGGGTATAGGGTTTAGGGTTTAGGGTTCAGGGTTTAGGGTTTAGGGTGTATAAAAGGGAGGCTCGCTGGTGCTAAAAGCACCCGGGCCGCTCGCTTGCGTTCGCATGGAGTCCCACCCCAACCACCCAAACTATTCTCGTTTAGGGTTTAGGGTTCACCCCCCAGGGGCTGTCTTGCTTTTTACAGAACTGTAAGAGAGCAGTAAGATTAGGGGGGGGTCCCAGGGGCCTCCTGGACCTTTTTTGGAGCCTGTTAGTGGCTCGTGGGCCTTCTTGGGCTTTCGCGGAGTTAAATGGAGGGCGCAAAAAAACCCTTCTGGGCAAATCTTGGTTCCCCCAAAAGGTGGGGTTTGATGAGCGTGAGAGGGTGGCTCGACCGGCCCTTCAACGGGCAGCAAAACAGTTGGGGGTTCGCAGGGGCCTCGGCCGGCCGTACTTTCCTGCCAGTTGTGAAAGGGTTCCCAGACGGGCCCAACAGGGTCCCGCCAAAAACCCGCGCAGGCCAACCCTGACCGGCAGCCTGGGACCCCAGGACCTTTCGGGGGGTAGCCCCCCAGACCCCCCAAAACACGCCAACGGCCCAAGGTTGGGGGTCCTAATTACATTAGGGCACTAGTCGGACAAAAAGAGATCATGAAGAAGGGTGGGGACGCTAGAGGTATGATATGATTTGTAGCTGAGCAGCTGCTCGTTCAACATCTCTTTAATTTCATTGGTACAACCAATGAATTCCTGCGCGAAGAGGTCTCCGTAGGCCTCATCACGTTCATGCAACCCTAGGTGGGACCTTTTGTTCCTTCCGCGAAAGGCTGATCTCCACCCCTGTGCCATCTTGGACGTCGGCCTCGGCTCATGATGCTTCTTTGAGGAAGACAAAGGACACATATCTTGTGTAATCTGGGAACCGCTCCACATACGTTGCGCTGTGGAAAATGCCGAGCTTGTCCCACCCGCGCCCGAATGAACGCAGACGGTAGTAGCGGACGTAAACCGCCCTCATTTGGGCAAATTTCGTCGCACCTGTTCGGTTCTGCCATTCTTTGTTTTCACTTGAGCCGTCCTGGTCGACGAGGTGCGGTAGCTATGCCAGAAGGCAGCGCTTTGCAATCCAACAAGACACTTGACGCATGATGTTTCACTGCACACCCGAACGCATCAGAATCCCTCCTGGGAGTAATATTTGCAATGCTATAGGTCACCAGAGCAGCCAAAATCAACCGGAAACCCAACCCTATGACAATTGCTTTTCAACGGACCCCTGCGATACTCTGGGGCACCAAGTCCAAAAGCCACCCTTACCCCTCTATAAGAAACAATGCACATCTAGGGCTCGTTTGAGCCTGAGGGCCACTCTTCGGGCCTGGTTTCGGGTTTAGGGTTTAGGGTTTCGGGTTTACTTACGGTTTCGGGTTTAGGGTGCGTGGGGGGGGTGGGGGAGGGGAGAGGGCGCGAAGAGCTTTTTGGGAGTCAGGTTTCAGGATTTTGGGGTTTAGGGTCTTGGGTTTTGTTTTACGGTTTAGGGTTTAGGGGTTTAGGGTTTAGGGTTTAGGGGTTTAGGGTTTAGGGCTAGCCCTGAAACCCTCAAAAGCAACAGATGTCATAAAGCGCGAACGACCCAGGAGACCGACAGAGACCCCAGAGCGCTCCTTGCCCTGAGCCATATGGGGCGTAGGGTTTAGGGTTTAGGGTTTAGGGTTTAGGGTTTAGGGTTTAGGGTTTAGGGTTTAGGGTTTGGGGTTTGGGGTTTGGGGTTTAGGGTTTAGGGTTTAGGGTTCATAAGGGTTTAGGGTTTAGGGCTTCGGGCTTTGACCCCCGTGTCCAACTGCAGGTGCAGAAGCCGTCATGTCCACGAAGCACCAGGGATTCTCACATTGAGACACCTGCTGTCGTTTTCTTGAAGGAAGGGGCGTTCAAAGGGGGGGTTTAGGGTTTAGGGTTTAGGGTTTAGGGTTTAGGGTCTAGGGTCTAGGGTCTAGGGTCTAGGGTTCAGGGGGGGTGTAGGGTTTAGGGTGTAGGGTTAGTGGTTCAAGGGGGGGTATGTAACTCACGGATCCCTTGTACTCCCCACTGTTCCCAGAAGCTTCCCTGAGGCTCCCTAGGTCCCTACCCCCCATGAACCTCCCCTCCCTTAAGAACCCCATAAACCTGGCTCTTGGCTCTCCAAAGCTACAAAGAACACCTGACAGGCCTTTTGAAGCTCGTAGGGTTGAGGGTTTAGGGTAAGTTTTGGGGGAGGGGAAGTCTCTTGAGGTGAAACGACAAGCAGGGAAAGGGGGGGAACGTCGGGAACGTGGCAGGTCCCTATACCAGCAACCAGCACCAAGATCTCCCGCCTGCGCTGTCCCATTGCACCCAAACAGCGACCGCGACCGGTTCTCATTGTCGTAGGCTCGGCACCTAGACCCAGGAGTAACCTAGGAATAAAAAGGGTACCCTTGTTGGTTTTGAGGGGAGTATAAGGGGACCCCAACCCCAAAAAAAGGAAATAAGGGCCTACTCCTGGTCCTAGTAGCCCGAAACCCTAGACCCTAGACCCTAGACCCTAAACCCTAAACCCTAAACCCAAAAAAGAGGTAAGAAGGGCCTACTCCGGGTCCTAGGCACCCTTCCGTGCCGTAATCCGCCCCGAGCCCTTCCGCGGTAAGCTCGGCTCGAAGCTGGCTGTATAGGGCAGAGCTGCTCGTGATGCATGGGCATTCCTTGGCACAAGGAAAGTAGGTACCATTTAGGGTTTAGGGTTTGGGGTTTGAGGTTTAGGGTTTAGGGCTTAGGGTTTAGGGGCACTCCTCTGCACAAGGAAATTTGGGAATGAGGTGCCATGCTATACTTTAAGAACCCCAAAGCCCTATTCGAAAATTTCTCAGGCCCCTATATTCGAGCCCTAACCCTAAACCCTAAACCCTAAACCCTAAACCCTAAACCCTAAACCCTAAACCCTAAACCCTAAACCCTAAACCCTAAACCCTAAACTCAGCCCGGAGTCCGGCGCGCCGGTCGCGGCAGCCAGTGGCCACAGCGCCAGGAACGCTGCGGCCCGCGTCATGTCGCAAGACCCCTTAACTGAGGGGTTTGGGGTGTAGGGTTTGGGGTTTAGGGCTTGGGGTTTAGGGTTTGGGGTTTAGGGTTTGGGGTTTAGGGTTCAGGGTTTAGGGGATGAGGGCTTGGGGCCCTAGGCCTAAAACCCTCAACTGAGGACTAGCCTTAGTTAACTAAGGTTTAGGGGTTAATAGAGTTGAGGGCTTTAGGGTTTCGGGGCCCCCAATGGTTTATGAGAATGCCTATTTGGGGCGCATTGCGCATGTCTCTTGCCTCTCGGCGCACTTGAACCGGAAAAGTGTCAAATGCACTGTCGCCGCCCTTCAACTACCAACCGCCCGAATTAACGAAGGTCGGGGGGCCCAGGGAAAAACAAGAAACGCCGAGGCCAGAGGCTTGAGGCATTCAGATCCACGTCCGGGGAACTTTTTCATAGTTGTACCCATTTTCAGAGCGCACCAACCTGCAAGCCATGAGGAATAGGTACCCCCCCTTGGCCGACCAGTGCGCCGGGACGAGGGGAGATTTCTGGCCAGCCAGAGGAGAAATCGAGACATCGTGTTTTTCCCCAACCCCCACCCCACCCCCACCGGCTTCGCGTTAGCGGTTCAACTAACGAAGGGGAGGCCCAGGGTTTACCTAGCGTGTGTGTATAACCTCAAGACCACACAAACAAGAAAATATCCTTGATTGTTGGGTAGATGCATCTCGTGTGTAAGCACAAACCACTAAGCCCTAAACTCTAGCCGATACGGGGGTTTAAGCTAGGCAGGAGATGGAGCCTCAGGGATTTAGGCTGTTCTTGAATCAGGCAGATTCAGGGTGAGAGTCCCTAAAACCCTAAACAGTGAAAGGGTTTAAAGTTTAGGGTTTTGGGGGCATAGGGCTTATTAGGGTTGGAGTATAGGGCTTTCCCAGACTACTGGGAGGGTCCAAATTGTAGAACCCCCAAAGAGTACCAAACACTACTGTTGGGTCATTCTAACACTTAAGGGGATTTACGTTTCGGATCCTCCGATAGGTCTGGGTTTTGGGGGCATAGGGGGCTTTTAGAGGTTGTAGGGCTTAGGCGTTCAGAGAGTTTGCGAGTCAGGGGGAAGGGGGTTTAAGGGGGGTTGAGGGGGTTTAAGGTGGGTTTGAGTGCTAGGCGTTTAGGGGTGAGGGTTAGGGGGCAGGGGTTTCCCCAGGCTTCTAGACTTCAGCAAATGGGCAAAAGTACAAAGAACGTTCGAAATGGGGTTTCCGAAAATTGGGGGGACCCCGAAGAATAGACCCCAAATCGTAGGGTCCCTTTGTATAAGAACCCGAATCAGGTACCCTAAAGCCTAAAGCCTAACCCTAAACCCTAAACCCGAAACCCTAAACCCTAATCCCTAAACCCTAAACCGTAAACCCTAAACCCTGAACCCCCCCCCCCTCCCCAACATCGTAACCCCCCAAATGGGCACATGGTTAAGGACCCCGAAGGCGCCCGCGCGAAGCGTTCGTTGGGGGCTTGGGGGCATAGGGTTTAGGGTTCAGTGCCCTAAACCCTAAACCCTAAACCCTAAACCCTAAACCCTAAACCCTAAACCCTAAACCCTAAACCCTAAACCCTAAACCCTAAACCCTAAACCCCAAACCCTAAACCCTAAACCCTAAACCGAACAGCAGCGCTGCTTTGAGCCCTCCAGGGATCATCCAACTGCCTGCTGCCGAAAAATGCCCCAGGCACCACGTCTCTGGAAGGCGATGTGGGCAGGAGTTTGAGAAGCCCAGTGGACTGGCTTAGGCTGTGTTTAGGGTTTAGGGTTTAGGGTTTCGGGTTTCGGGTTTAGGGTTTCGGGTTTAGGGTTTAGGGCTGTGTCGGGTTCAGGGTTTTAGGCAGAAGTTTTGTAGAGGGACTTCAGGGACTAGTCCTACGGGTTCTTAAGAATGAGGGGGCAAGGTACCTTGTAGAATCCCTTCAAGGGGTCTGTCAAGGCATATCAGGTGTAACTGCTTCATTCCCGCCTAAGTGCCAGCATGCCAGAAACCCTAAACCCTAAACCCTTGTAGCACGGCGTCGTGTAGGCAACAGGGAAGGTGTTGAGCCCTAAACCCCTGAACCCCTAAACCCCTAAACCCCTGAACCCCTGAACCCCTAAACCCTAAACCCCAAAGCCACCCCCTAAACCCTAAGGTATACAAAGTTACGGACAAAGACTAAGCCCACTGGGATTTGGCTTCGTGGTCACAGGGTCCGGGGGTTTCGGGCATTTTTGGGATTTGGTACACTTGGGGTTTCAGGGGTTTAGGGGTTTAGAGCTTATAGGGTTAAGGGTTTTAAGATTTGGGGTAGTTAGGTTTCGGCATGTCGGGTTCTAGGATTTGGGGGTCGTTTAGGGTTTAGGGTTTAGGGTTTAGGGTTTAGGGTTTAGGGTTTAGGGTTTAGGGTTTAGGGCCTAGGGATTGAAGAGTGAAGCTCAGATTGTCCAGGTGGACTCTCCCCTGTGCTCTGTATAAGTCACACAGCCCGGAAACTCCTCTCTCCGCACGTTGGGACGGCTGTGGATTGGTTGCGGGCCTGACCCTGACCCTAAACCCTAAACCCTAAACCCTAAACCCTAAACCCTAAACCCTAAACCCTAAACCCTAAACCTTGACCCCTAAACCCTAAACCCTGAACCCAAAACCCCCAAGTTTCAGGTCGGCGGCTGCTGCTGACATAAACCGTGTTAACAAGTACACGGGCCCATGAATGTGAACCCGGAACCAGGCTGATTATTGTTATTTTGTGTTGTTTTATGAATACTTATGAACCCTAAACCATAAACCCTATTAGAACCTACTGTTTGCTTAAGAACCCCAAACAATTCAAGATAATATTCCCTGTATTACCCTTATAAGGAAGAATACGTGATTTTCTATTCTTGCGGGGCTCTTCGGCAAATAGTAGCCCTAAACCCTAAACCCTAAACCCTAAATCCTAAACCCTAAACCCTATTAGAATGGAGTTCCCGGGAACGTCATGCAAGTCTTCGGGTGGCCGCTGAAAACTTCAATGTTGGGGCGGCCTCACACTCAGGTCCAAAAGAGCTCGTTGGGGTCGATGGTGTGGGGTTTAGGGTTTAGCGTTTAGGATTCAAGGTTCAGGGTTTCGGGTCTAGGGTACATGATTTTAAGGTTTCGGTGTTAACGCATGGTAGGCGATTGAAGAACTGCGGGCAAAAGCCTGAAGAAGTCGAGTTGGACTTGAGATTCTGAGCTTGAAGCTAAAGGCCCCAGGGCTTTGCCATCAAGCTGGCCACGACAAGGCCTGAAGACTGACTTCGCAGGCCCGGGCGGTTCGTGGAGTCATATCCTTGTAGGGTCGACCTGGGACTCGTCTCTTCACCTGAGGTTCAGCAGTAGCTACCCTGAATGAGTAGGTATAACCCATAAAGCTGTAGGTGAAGAGGGTCCCAGGTACCTCTAGCCCCAACTTCCATAAACTAACCCTACACCCTAAACCCTAAACCCTCTAAACTCTAAACCTCTTTGGGGCGCACTTGCAGGATGTGCCTCGCACACCGCATGGGAAAAGTGCTCACTTTTGCTCAGCGCCCGAAGACGAAGGGCACAGCCTGACCGACAGAAACCCTAAACCCCAAACCACAAACCCTAAACCCTAAACCCCAAACCCCAAACCCTAAACCCTAAACCCCAAACCCGGAACCCTAAACCCTAAACCCTGAGCCCTAAAATCAACCCTGGCCCTAAACCCTGCAAGCCCAAGCCCAGAACGTAGTAAGCTGTAACCTCACGATGCTTTGGTCCTTCACGGTAGGTAGAAGGTGTAGGGTTTAGGGTTTAGGGTTTAGGGTTTAGGGTTTAGGGTTTAGGGTTTAGGGTTTAGGGTTTAGGGTTTAGGGTTTAGGGTTTTTGGGCTTTCAGGGTTTAGGTTGCAGGCTGTTGGTTTTAGGGCTTTGTCGGTTTGAAGGGTTCAGGGCGGAACAGAAGTCCCGCAGTGGAGCCCTGACGCGTTTAGGGTTTAGGGTTTAGGGTGTAGGGTTTAGGGTTTACGGTACCCCAAACAAAGGACTTAAGCTCGGGGTATAGTGTCTACCTCCTTGACCCCTTGGAAAACGTGCGTAGTTTTTATAGCAAGAAGAAGCAATGAACGCTGACCTCAAGCTCTGAAGCACAACTCAGCTAATTGCAGGGCAGGCTACACCCGGACAGTGACAGGTAGTTTGAAGCCAATGGAAGAGTCCGGGGGAGGGGTCTTGAGGGTTCGGGGGGTTAATAGCTTGAACCCCCTAAACTCTCTAAGCCCTAATCCTAAACCCTCAACCAAAGAAAAGCCGTAAACTCAAAACCTCACAGGCCTAAAAACCCAAACAACCCTGAACCCGAAACGCTAAATAAGCCCTAAACTCTAAAACCTCATTCCCTTAAAAAGCCCCCAAAAAACCCCCAAAGACCCTAAACCCTAAATCCTAAAACCTAAACCCAAAAACCCTGAACCCTAATGCAAGCGCCCCTAGCGCCTCCACCGTGCGCGGCTTTCTGCTCGCAGGGCCGGGAGACGAAGGTGGGTGGCCGCGCCCTGAGCATGGTTTAGGGTTTAGGGTTTAGGGTTTAGGGTTTAGGGTTTAGGGTTTAGGGTTTAGGGTTTAGGGTTTAGGGTTTAGGGTTAACCCTGAGCATGTAGGGCGTTAGCGGATTTAAGGGGCTTGAGGGGTTTTGGGATCAAAGTGCTAAACTCTAAACCCCAAACCCCACACCTTTAACCCTAAACCCCAAAGGGTGTAGGGCTTCAAGGTTGAGAGGTTGCAGGTGTTTCGAGGCTTCGCGCGTCAAGGCAGGTCCTTGGGGTGCCCTGCCGTATAGGGCTTAGTAGGGTTCAGGGTTTAGGGCTTAGGGCTAAACCCTAAACCCTAAACCCTAAACCCTCAACCCTAAACCCTCAACCCTAAACCCTAAGGGTTTAGGTGTCGATCCTGGGGCTTTCTAGATTCCGGCTTTCGGGCTGCAGGTTTAGGGGTCAAATTGGGCGCGAGAGGA